TTGTTGTGAGAGATCTGGGGCCGAGAACACGATGTGCCAATGCGGCACTTTCCGTACTGGCGGGGCGGCTGGCGATCGCCGCACTTGTGGCGTGAAGGGTCGGGTCTCTGCGGGAGTAGGTCACACGGTGGCGGATTAGTCTGGGCCTACCGAGCAAAGCAGGGCAGACAGCCGCTTGTAGGGCATACAGTCGCCGGGATGTCAGAGAGGGAACCACCGGAGTTGTTGCCCTGCTGTGACATTGGCGGCCGCATGGGGGCGTGACAGATGATATCCATTCAACACCACAGAGCCCTGTCTTGGATGGGGGACGTATAGATAGTACTGCATATACTTCTATCATAATGTAGTGCAACGTTTTGCCTTTTGGCTCTGGACGGAGACCGACCACCAAAGCAAGTGTGCGGTAAAAGGAAAGAGACCAGAAGAAGCATACCAACTCATATCTGTCATATACCGTTTTTTTCCAGTCTTGTATTTTTTTTACGAAGACAAAACTGCACAGAAACCTTGAAAAAAAACATCATAGAAAAGCCATTATGTGCCTGTTGGAGGTAGACTACGATTGAGTCCAGACTAGCTTTTTAATTTCATCTTTTTTTTTACATTTTGATCAGGTTTAAGATACTGCCTTTGCATCGGTCATTGACTTTTCTTAGGCCATGTTGATTTGATTATATGGATGACGTCCTCTGGGAACCCCAAAACTGATGCGCGAATGCGACTAAAAAAAGTTTTGCAAAAAAAAAAAAAAAAGAATTCATTATGAAATCTACGTGGTCATGAAGATTGAACAAAAGACACAGAGTATGGCATGGTAAAATACTCTACTCTTCAAATTCATTTCTTTACATTTTCGTCTTTTTTGTTTGATTCTGGCATATTCTACGACATTGGTATCGTTTTTGGACATACTTCTTTGCAAGTTGTGGTATATATTTGCTCATTTTGCAACTGTTTTGTACGATTTACAGTATGGTTGAAAACTTTTTTTTCGTGAAACGGCGGAAAATTCATGCGCGCGCGGATGTCATCCATATTATCAAATCAACATGGCCTTATAGGCGTCGTGCTGAGGTTTTTAACCCATATATGTCCACCTCCCACCCATTTGACAAATAGTTTTTAAGTCACCTAACGATCTTGTAATACGTGGACGCCATGAGAATTTCATCCTTCACTTGAACCGAGACAAAAGACATGGCGAGACGAAGTGGTTGACCTTGAGTACCCCGTGGTTTTAATTAGGGTCCCGCGACCCTCACGTGTGAAAGATATTAGGCTCAGGAGCAGGTACTATATACAACGCCAAGTAGATTTAATGGGAGCAAGCGATGTGGGCTATAAGTAGGTGCCCTGGTACAGATGTGCACAATGTAAGAAAGTGACTGGGTCGTAGGCCTAGCTGATGTTTTGCTGGAGAAAGGGTCAGAGATTTCGTCGAAGTGTTGTTGAAGCCTGATAAAGTAGCTACCGGCTGGAGATTAGCTTGTCAGACGTACGGTCTTTGACAGTGTTCTTTTGGCTGGAAAAACAGATTTCTTTCTCTGTCCTATCAAGGTATAATTTCTAGTCAATAAAAGATCCCAAAGATACAGGTGGTTATACGCTGTTCGAAACAAGTGGTTCTGTATTATCATTAATACGCTAAGACCAGGACTTTCTTCGAGATGCCCAATCTGGCAATCAAGTTCTGATTAAAAACATTTTGAGTTACTAGTAATAGTATCTAATGCCATGTGAAATATTTGCATTTTAATAAGGTACAGATTCAGTTCAATTCATTTCAAATTTTAGAATGAAATTTCCTCAAGGTTTGTGCCAGCTTTAAAAGAGGGCCTGCATGCCCTTTTTCGTAAGGCGTAATCAGGCATGTTTAGTCTACGTAATCCGTAGGCAGCCTCCCAAAATCATCGTAATTCGTAATCAGTACATTAGCGGTAACGCGTAATTGTTCATAATCAGCTCTGAGATTTCAACGTAATTCGTAATCGGCGGCGAAAATTTTGCGTAATTCGTAATCACCCCCCCCCCCTTAAGCAAGCCCTTTTAAAACAATTCATTTGAAAGGAGAGATGTTAACCCATTTTTGGAAGTGTGGGGGTAGATCTAGAAGGGTCAAGAGCAGGTACAAGGTTAGCGGTACCTTCAGACCGTCTGAACACCGTCTGGACATGTGGAAAATATATGTTCACCATATGCAGTGTATAGATTAGGCCACACCGAATAATTTTTACGGATGACGTCCGCGCGCGCATTGATTTTGGCCTGTTCCCAGAAAAAAACACAAGAAATTCCGCTTCTTGTAACTATGACCAAAGAGTCACGACAGTGGGATATATAAGGGAAGATGTGATGAAAGGAAAGAAACAGGACAGGACGACAAATGCTGTTCCTCTGATTTATTTCTGTTTTCACAACGAATAAAAAGACTTGTTGGTTGTTACACTATGTTCTCGCATTCAATTTGTGTCCTAACATTTGTCGTCCCTTAGTATATTCCAAATCTAGGCATCTTGCTTTTTTCGGCCATTCTTTTTTTTGCGCTCTCGCATTAGATTTAGGGTCTCCAGAGGACGTCATCCATAAAAATTACTTGGTGTGGCATTATTTAATCACAAACATGTGGTAGGTTAAACAGAGATGGAATACGTTTGTCAGACTCAGTGGAATTCGGGGTATATTGAATGAAATTCCTCAAATATGAGCGTTAATTTAAATATAACGTTATAACTTGCAACCGAACTAAGGCCACAGCAAGTAACTTTTATGGATGACATCAGCGTGCGCATTAATATTCGCCTGATTTTGGAAAAAAACAAATTTTGTAGCTCTCTGACAGTGGTCAACATGCGAAAAATGGGAAAGATGTCTGTTGCCATGCTGGAAGGTGGATGGCAGATAACTATGAAGAGAGGAGACAAGAAAAGGCTCTGATTTAATGTTTTGTTTCTTATTTAGATGCAGTGATATGTGATAATTTAAAGATTTTAAAATGTAGGAACCTTGTTTTTTTTTCGACCCGCCTTGTTTTTTTTCGCCCGCTCGCATTAGATTTGGAGTCTGCGGAGGATGTCATCCATGAAGTTTATTTGCTGTGGCCTAACATAGATGCGTCTAGGGCACTTGTGAAAATGTGGAGGGAGCACTTAATGGTTCATTGGGGATACTGACAAATAACATGTACATGTATATACAAAAATCTATGCCTTTAAAGACATATATTCACGAAAAAGTAGGCCACATGTGGAAACCATCAAAGCGCAGTGGCCTTTGTATACTGTTTATATTATAAGTATAATCCAATTTATTTGTCAAAATGCTGTCAAATTGAAATTAGTATCATGTGTAGTTTCTAAATGATGTCGATGAGGGCATATATACAAATCTCAACTGCTATGTAGACACTATCCAATGGGGAACATGATATCAATACAAAAGTTGCCAAATATCTACTTGTTTCAAGTGCAAAAAAGTTACACATCTTGGTATTGCCTTCGTCAGAAGGTCTATGGAATCACTTGGCCTTAGTGTGGGTGACTGCGGATTTAGCGGAATAACTCTTGAAGGCATGGTTTGACGTCCATGATTTTTGGCAGGCAGGTTACCGTTGTTGAGACCAAAGTGCAAGTTTGGGCTTCGTGGGGGGGGGGGGTCTATTTGTCACTGCAGTGGACCATTTGTGTTTCTGGCTTGTTAGCAGAGTAACTTTTTTATATGTAAATTGATGTTCATAATTTTTGGTAGGCAGGTTACTGTTGTAGAGACCAAGGTTAAGTTCGTTAACGGGCTTCGTGGGGGGTCTACTTCGTAGAGGGTGAACTTTGGTAGATTTTCCTGTTGCACAGTCGGCGTAAAATGGTAAAAGAATGGTCATCTGCAAGCAAATGATTATAATGATATGTAACAAACGATAAGAGTTTAGGTCTCCTTGTGGCTTTCTTAAGAACTGTAGCCCTAACTATGAAGTACAAATTTACAAAAAAATCCTATGATTCTAGATAGACCAAAAAAATGCACACAGCAGACAGGAAGTACTAGTACTCTTCAACAGTAACTTGTTAAAAAAATACAACTAAAATTATTAGCGTTACAACAAAAGATAAGTACCACATACATTTTGTAAAACCATAAAATGTTAACTGGAACAAGATAACTAACATTCTATCTCTACTTTACTCCTTTAACCCATATTCATAACATGGTGGTTTTAGTTTGAAGTTTCATACAACAGTGACTTGTTAAAAAGGCACATTATTCTAAGCATAAGACTTAAAATGTTAGGATAATAATGATCAAATCTCACTCATTACCTACCGTCTGTGGATTGGATGGGCAGAAATTCCTACTGAAAATAAGGCTCCATAGATATAACACCTGGCAATCTAAACTTACATACAACAAGCTATATGTGGTGTTAAGAAATGATGGAACCAATGCATTAAGCTTATGAGATAGGGCACTGTCTATTGTGGCTCACATAGCATAGGTGAAGTTTCCAATGTTATCAAAACTGGAGATATCTTCAACAAACAAAAAAGTTTCTTCCTCAGCAACATGTATCATAGTTCATTATGAGATATGACAAAGCAGGATTTTCAATTTTGTTCTGCCACTTCTCTGTTCCTGGGATCTGACATCTCAGTATCTTTCTACCTTGTGATGTAGAAAAGTTGACAAGGCGCCTTATCTTTAATACAGCATATGCATGGACCCCCGAAAGTTTTACAGCTTCTTTCATATGCAGCACCATTCATGAGTTTCCCATCCCCAGGATGCATTGCGAAAACGGGTGTAAACCTCATTTGCATAGGACAGGTAGGCATCGGACTGATCCTGTTAACATTAAACAGCTTGTTTTTCGGTGTGTTTTGAGGTGTTGGGGGCATTTTATGCTCAACGTTAATTAAATTACTATGGGTTGAATCTGACAACAAATAGAGTATGAAGTTTTTTGAATATGTGGTTTGTAACGTTATAGTGGTAACGCTATACTGATGCTGTAACGTTACAAACCACATGTTCCAAGTTAAAAAGAACACAAAAACTTCATACTCTATTTGTTGTCAGATTCGACCCATAGTATTTTAATTAACAGTGAAAACCAAGCTGATTAATGTCACCAGGATCATTCTGATGCCTTCCTGTCCTATGCAAATGAGGTTTAGACCCCTGTTTTTGCAATGCATCCTGGGGATGGGAAACTCGTGAATAACACGATTGGTAGCTTTGTACAGTCCAGTACAGAACAGACAACTTGACGCCATCATCATCAACTTGCAAATTTAAATCAGCAACACTTCACTATGGTGACGCAGGCATGGCCATACAGATTCCACTGCAAGTTTCCTGCAGACTTGAATGACTCGAATTCTGGATCATAGCACCAGATCTGTCTGCCTCCCCTGTTGTTGCCGCTGTCGCCTCCCGTGATGTAAATCTTCCCCTGGTACGTGGTTATCCCGCACTCCAATGGGACAGGTGCTGGCCACTCCATCCAGTTCCAGGACTCCCAGGGGTTCCACTTACACACGGAGCCTCCACCAAACCCAGTAACATAGATGCTGCCCATGAGAACTGCAGCGTTGAGACCACCTCCTGGTTGGGGCATGTTACTCATTTCCTTCCACTCTGTGTCACCTGGGGTGAAGCTGTACACCGTAGCTGTTTCATTGTGATTGGCACTGAATCCACCCATCACGTATATGCTGCCGTCCAACACTGCCGCTGCGTGGTGGTACCTCGGCTGTGGGAGCGGAACGCCCTCAGTCCACCTGTTCTGGTTCCTGTCGTAGATCTCCACATTTGACAGCGCAGAAAAGTCGTCTCTTCCTCCAATGGCGTACACTTTCCCTTGAACCACTGCTAGCTTGTGATTGTACCGATTGGCGTTCATCTTAGCAAGTCTGGACCAGGAGTTGAGTTCTGGCTGGTACAGCCACACATCCTTGGCAAAACTGGTGCCCGTGGACACGATGATGTCGCATCTGCCGAGAACAGCCACGGCAAAACCACTGTCATCTTTCCTCTTCATTCTTGTCATCATAGACCAACCTGTCTCTGAGCCAAAATCACAGCCTGATGGTGCTGCAACTGTGGTTGTCATGACGCGGTTTGAGATGAATGCAAGGTCCTCAGCTCCATCCCCATTATAAAACTCTATTCCTCCAATGACCACTAAAGTTTCCCTCAGGCCAGTGGCACAGCGTGGACGGGTGCGCGGTGACTGGACCTCTCCCGGGAACATGTGGTACCTACGAGCTTCCGTTAAGAAGTCCTGGCAAGCCCTGCGTACAGCGTCGTTCCTCTCCACATTCTCCATGAAGTACATCCTGTCCATGAAGGGGAACCTGACCCATCTCAGCAGGTCTTTCATGTCCTCCTTCCTCTCCTCGACGTCGCGGTTGATCCAGGCCATCACGGCGGTGTACACGCTTTCCTCAGACACCCCAAGGTCATCAGATGAGATCAGCTTTATGAGCTGTTCCTTTGTCAAAGAAAAAAACTCCCGGGTCCTGCTGACTGCCGAGAACTCCCTTGTGACATGGGACCACGCTCTCTTCTCCAGGTCAGGGCAGGACAGCATGCTCCCCGTGAGCACCATCTTCAGACAGTTCTTAGAGCTAAGATTGTCAGAGATGAACTTCACGCACGCGTCATGCACGGGTTGGATCTGGAAGAAGCTGGCGCCTTCCAGCAGTTTCGCTGCATTGTTGTCTGTGATGGTGACCTCCGACGTGTACGCATAGTCCACAAGCAGCTGCAGGGTGTTGGTGCTGACCTCGTGAATGGTGACTTTGTGCTCCTGGCTCTCGCGATGTCCGTTACAGAACATTGCACGGAAGTACCCGCTGCAAGCAGCGAGGACATTGCGGTGGCACGGGATCTCTCTTCCGGAGACGCAGAGGATGACGTCTGTCAGCAGGTTGTCAGACCGCAGTTCCTGCAAGCCTTGCAAGAGGGAGCCTGCGTGTGGATCGTGGTAGAAGTCCTGTGATCGTGTTGACCTTGCCATCATGTCTTTATTCTGTAAAATACAACAAAATAAAACATAAATCTACTGATCAGTACTGCAGTAAGACACATTTTGAGCAATTTTGGGAATATCTGTGACACCAAACTCCACAGTAATAGGACACAGTGATAAGTTAAAGAAAAAGAGGGACAGAATCTTCAATAACATTGAAGGTGGTCTCCTCAATTGAAAGAAGAAAAACTTGTGTCCATTCTGTCAAAAATTTGAAAAAAAGATATTCTAGATAACAGTGCGTGTAAGATCCCCCCCCCAAGAATCAATAGAATGGAATGGTCCATCCCCTCCTGTTGGGAGGTCTTCTTAGATCTGATACATCTGGCTACTCTCCAAGCAGATGTTTTTGGCATGTTTTTAGGCTTTTTTATCAGGGTTTCGCTTTTGCATCGGAATTTTTTGCACCCAACATTGCAAAAGAGAAACCCCGATAAAAAAGCCTATAAAACACGCCAAAAATAACCCCAAACGAAACTCAAACGTCTGGTTGGAGAGTGACATCTGGCCGTGTTCACACCAGAGACTGAAGAATGCCTGTTACTAGTGTTCAGTGTTAGGCCATGTTGATTTGATTACATGGATGACATCATCCGGAAACCCCAAAACTGATGCGTGCGTGCGAATAAAAAAAAGGTTTGACAAAAAAAAAAAGTTGTTTTCATTATGAAATCTACGTGGTCATGAGGGTTGAACAAATGGGACAGAATATGGTTTGGCGAATAATCTAGTCTTCAAGTTCATTTCTTTACAATTTCGTCTTTTTTCGTTTGATTTTGGCATTCTACGACATTGGTATGGTTTTTTTGTAACTTACGGTTTATTTTGGCTCATTTTGCAACTGTTTTGTACGATTTACAGTATGGTTGAAAACTTTTTTTTTTGAAACGGCCGAAAATTCATGGCGCGCGGATGTCATCCATATAATCAAATCAACATGGCCTTACTGATTGTGGATGGCCACAAATGGGTTCTTACAATAGTGGGAATGGGTGAAATATATGAGAAAATGATGATACTAGTATATAAACTACTACTTTTTCAGTCTGGTCATTGAAGCTGAGTTATTTCAATTATGTGTACATGTACCAGACATAATACAGGAGTCATGTAAATTAGAGGGATATCATACACAAACATATTTACCATAACAATAAGTTACAAACAATGCAAAAAATTGCGACCTGAAGCAATTTCCATAATAACAATGGAAAACAGGACAACGTGGAGCACAAAAACAACAACATGCACATTTCAGCTTAGCCAGAACCAAAATCTAACAATAGTGACCTTGAAGATATTCTAACCAAGGACATTATGTATAATGTCCTTGTTCTAACAAATGAAGCAAAATATACAGCAAAATCACATTTTAGCACAAAATTTGGAAAACTACAGATAGAGGGCCATAGAGAGGATCTAAAAAAAATCTCCAGAGTCCAGAACTCGAACTTGGACATGAGAAATAATTCTGTATTTGGTAAAACTTTGAAGACCTAGATAATTTCTAACAACGCTACTAGTTTACTTTCAAATTTGAGGCCGTGTTTGAACCCACGCGGAAACTAAAATATTTGCTGAGATGAACAGAGATCAGGGAGATACAGAAACAGATGGGCCTGTCAACGGTTTTCCAAGAAAACAAGCGATCGGCATCACTTTGGTTTGACCAAGGAGGTAAATCAAACTTCTTGGTTTGACAAGGTTAACAAACACATGAAGGCTTTCCTACCTAACCCTGTAGTTCTTGGATTTGGTCCCACTGACTTCCGAGGTCTAGGGGAATCGGAATTATGAAGCTCTCGACTACACACCGACCGTCCCTGGGTCTTCTTCTCATGGAATGCGCATTCTCGAACCAAAAAGCGCGGGAATCTTCCGGGAAGGTCAAAGGTTGTGTTTTGGACATTTGAAAATATGAGAGGGGGTGACAAGCTGTAAAATATTTTTTCTCCTACCCTCTCTTTAAGATAGGAGAATCATAGAGATAAATAAGTTGTTATATAAATCTTTCTTTAATTGCTTTGATGTTATTTGTGTAATATTTGAGCTAAGCATAAAAACCCCGGTTATTCCAAGACCCCAAACGAAACCTCAGCTTGGTACCGTTACTCTCCAAGCAGAGGTTTGGGTTTTGGCTTATTTTTGGCACGTTTTTATCGGGTATTATTTTTTGCGCTGGTATCTTTTTTTTGGGCTGGCGTAATAAAAAGATACCAGTGCGTAAAGGAAAGCCGGATAAACACGCCAACAATAAGCCAAAACCCAAATATCTGCTTGGAGACTAGACCAATATACATTGTACTAGTATATAGGGCTACCCCGAAGCAAAAGTGGTATAACCCATAAACAACATGGCGGTGAAATGATGAAATCGTGCGAAACTCCAGTGACTCTTTCTTTGTACCTGAAATTGATTAGGGTCTATTTCGGGACGCTGATGTAAGGTTGTGCAACATGGGTGTTATTAAAGGGACCCGATTCGCCGGTATTGCACAAACTGAAGAGCAGAAAGAGGCAGAAGGCGTGTTGGGAGCGCGAGAAGGCATAACTTAGGCTAGTTCCGGCGACAACACAAAACAGGTGGGTAAAACAAATTATATATAAACGCTACCGGCTTCTGTTGTAATATTACGGCCTTCATTGCAACAGATACAGGACGTTAATTCCAAGCTGCTGGCCTGTATAAGGTATAAAATGAAAAACTATACTTAGACTAGAAAAGTAACATTTGCAAAGCAATGATGCATAATGTTTACCTTCGCATATGGTCTGCTTACTCTAACCATGCTCTAACACATTCACATATATGGTGACAGGAGTACTATAAAATTGCAACATTATGTAACCCAACACCAGTTACCATTGTGAGAGACGGTCTGGTACACAACAGGTCATTGACCAGGTCAGAGGTCACTGTTTGGAGAAGAAGAAACTGAGCAAAAACAATAGAGTTCCACGATTCCATACCTTCGCCAAAAAAATATGGTGTACGAATTATACATTTTTACTCATTGATTTAGCAAATAAGAGTCTCATTTGCATAAATTATATCAGTTGATGATATGAAAGAACGCTAACATCTCATGCAAAATTCGTGACCCTAGGATGTGTAGATCATGAGATATCAAAACCAAATGTTCTGCTGCAGTACCAAGGAAAGCTGCCAGGGGGCCCAATATCTAATCATTTCCAGATTTGGGGCCGCCCTATCTACACACCAAATATTATTAGATTACATTCATACCTTCTTGAGTTATACTTAAAAAAAACCCTACTGAAACCCACTGAAAACATAGCCCTCTTGGTGAAGTTAATAATTTTTATAATTCATTTACCTTAATAAAGGAGGACATTAAGTGCTGAAGATGGGTGCATCTCAGAGCACCCAGGACCAGACAGTACGAGATGTCATCCAGAACTCTGATCTGTTGGAGGCCAGGCTTGTTCTGGAGAGTATTGCATCTCGAGACCAAGCAGAACACACCTCTGAGACAGGTAGGAAGTTCTAATATTATCTATTAAATCAAATGTAACAGTTACTCTTAACTAGAAAGGTATAATGTTTACCTTTGCATATGGTCTGCTCTGTTAATTCTTACTCAATCATATTTACATATATGGTGACAGGAGTCTAAATCTCTCCCTGATCCTACTACAATGTATAAAATTGCAACACCAGTTACCATGGTGAAAGCTGTCAACAAATCAGGCCATAGGCCAGGTCAGGGGTTAGTGTTTAGAGAAGAAGAGGAAGAGGAAACGTAGCAAAAACAATATGTTTTTCTTCAGTAAACATAATACTAGTAAGTTACTGACACAGGTATGAAGTTTAATATTATTGTTTAATATGAGAAAAAAAAACTACAAAAAAAGAACTTTGCTTTCTGGAGATGGAACCAGGAGAAATATTAGATTCACTCTAAATTGAAAATAATAAGTTATAATTTATCTGGAAATGACATGCTATGAAATTGTCCAAGTTGAATGTATACTCACAGTTATATCATCTCAAAATCAATACAGGACAGGTACTCCTGTATACATGTAACATCTTACAATATTTAGACAAGTCCATGTCAATCTATTGTAGGGGAGGGAGCCTCAGTGGCCAATGGGACTGTGAGCAAAGAGCAGCTGCTGAAGGTACAGATCCCCCTGCCAACAGAATGGACTAGTCTGCTTCAGAACAAGCTGACGCACGTCATCGTGGCTGCAGACAAGAGTGGTTCCATGGCTGGTAACCCATGGCGACAGGTAGGGACACGCCCAATAATACTGATACTATGCTGGACATTTATGATATGCTGTTAGGCCTAGGGAAGAAACGTTGTTGTGTTTCCTGTTTCCCAACCTACCCTAGAAAAACCTACCAACCCTATCCTTTTTTAGTGTGGACCCCAGCAAGGGACAGAAACAGGAAACACAACATTTTTTTCTTAGGCCACACCAAGTAAATTTTATGGATGACGTCTGCGCGCGCATTGATTTTGGCCTGTTCCTAGAAAAAAAAAACAAGAAATTCCGCTTCCTGTAACTATGACCAAAGAGTCACGACAGTGCCGCAAATAGTTTGTACGGACCAAAGCTTATGAAGCATCAAGCAAGACTTCCATTAGGAATTCAGTTTGGTACATGCTACCACATTTGAAGAAACTTGCTGACCGCTCCATCTATCTCCCCAAAGCACAGGACGACAAGTGCTGTTCCACCTGATTTATTGCTGTTTTGATGATGAATAAAAGACTTCTATCATGTTACACTGTGTCACCTCATTCAATTTGTGTCCTAACATTTGTCGTCTCTTAGTATATTTCTAATTTAGGCATCTTGTTTTTTAGGGCCCTTCTTGTTTTTTTTCGCCCTCTCGCATTAGATTTAGGGTCTCCAAAGGACGTCATCCATAAAATTTACTTGGTGTGGCCTTAGACTTTATGCTGTACACCTAAATATATATTAGGAACAGAAACGTTGAAATCAGGCAATTTAGAAATGAAAAGAAAGGATTGAATGTAGGTTTCTGTGCTATCTTTACACCAAATTTTGGCACCCTCCAAAAAGGATTTGATCGTAATTTCTAGAACAAACTGGGAGCAACTTACATAAAGCAGCAAAACAAACAAAAATGCTGTTTCCCTTTCCGTTGTTGGGATGGAAATATAATTATCACAATAAATCATAATTATCATAATAAATCCCTAGAGAAACAAGATGGAGTGATTTTGTTCCTTATGTGACATTACTAGTGCCTGAGTAGTACATTGAGCACTCACTCAGAAGTAAAGCTCCCCCTGTCTGTTTCTTCAGGTACAGCAGGCCCTAGTGTACATGATCGGAGATGTGGCCAGTGTCAACCCCAGTGTGGCCCTGGATGTGGTCATCTACAATGATAAGGCCAGCGTACTGCAGTATGCAGGGTCAGTAGTACATAGGAATAGAAATCTTATGGAGAAATCTTACATTGAAATCATACTTTGAAATATTAGATTAGTTCAGGGAGCTTCAACAGGATATAATGTCCTTGATTAGTTAATTGGAAATCTTATACATGTACTAAAATCTTTAGTTTAATAGTACATAGAAATCATATAAAGAAGAAATCTTACATATCATATGTTGAAATCTTAGGCCACACCAATTTAATTTGTTGGTTCTTGGATTCGCCTCTTCGTTTTTTTCTGATTTGCAAAAAAAAAAAAAATTGATTCTGGTCCTGAATCAACTGAAAAATGCTCATGTTTTGCCCCCAACAGTTGAGGAAAGTCTTTTTCTTCCTAGTTGTTACAGTTTTCCCATCTATCATTGCAGTGGTTTGATTAAAAGTTCAAAATTCAATGTTTAAATTTTAACCCAGCCTTTTGTGTTGACTTCATGGCTCATTTTGTAGCATTTAAGCCTATAATAGGATGCCTAGACCTGTTTTTATTTTAATTTTTTTTCGCCCTGTCGCTTCATATTTTTTCTGAAAAAATCCGAGAACCAACAAATTAAATTGGTGTGGCCTTACATAGAAATCTTATGTTGAAGTCTTATGTTAAATTCTGACATCAAAATCTTACATTTAGAAATCTTACATAGAAATTTCATTCTTGCATAGAAATCTAGATCTCATTCTGTAAAGAATGATTATCAATTTTGATATCACAATATCAAAGTACAATGGAACTGTCAAAATCTTAGCTGAATCTCGGTACTTGTAATTTTATGTTTACCGAAGGAAAACATCATTTTTGCTCTGTTTCCTCTTCTTCTTCTCCAAACAAATAAGGTCAATGACCTGAACGAGACAGTCTATCACCATGGTAACTAGTGTTGGGTAACATCATGTTGCAATTTTATAGCAGGAGGGATTTAGACTGAGAGAATGATTTAGACTCCTGTCACCATATTATAAATGAAAGTGTGTTTGAGTAAAAATTGACAGAGCAGACCATATGTGAAGATAAACATTATGCATTTGTTTTGCAAATGTTACCTTTCTAGTCTAAATGTCTTATTCTGTGACAGATCATACCAGGAAGCAGTGAATGGTGTGAGGGCAGACGGGATGACAAGTTTTGCTGCAGCGTTTGGTTGTATCAAGGACTGTCTGAAGACTGAAATACAAGGTCGGAACAGACTTTATAAGCTTTGTATTCAATTAGTCTTAGTCTCTATAGCATGAAAAGGCTATGAGAGTACCTTTACTTATTTTTGATAAACATCAAAAGCCACAGCAAATAATTTTTATGAATGACATCAGCGTGTGCATTAACTTTCCAGACTGTGGAAAAAAAAGAAGAAACTAAGGTTATTGCCTCCAGATAGTGCTTAACATGCTGAAAATCGGCAAAGATGTCTGTTGCCATGCCGGAATGTGGATGGCAGATAAATAATAGTATAAAGGGAGGAGACAAGACAAGGCTCTGATTTAATGTTTTGTCTTTTACTTTGATGCAGTTATGTATTTCAATCCTTTTATATGTGATGCTGGCTGTGTATATGTGATATTCCTATGCTACTGAATCAAAACTATTTGTACAACTAGAAAGGCCAATATTTGCTTTGGAGCAAATACAGCGATGGGTTCACCACATTTTACGACATGGCAGGGAAAGAATGAGAAACACAAGGGAAAACAATGATTTACATTGATATAACTATAATATGAAGTAAAATACAACTAAAACAACAGTTGGATAGCTATTCCCTACTTTATTGGTTAGGATTTTTAATTGCATAATGCAAACTGTTGATTTTCAAAATAAAAAAAAACGTCCATGCTCCGCATTCCAATGCTGGAGCAGGAAAGCTTGAAATACCTACCAAAACACTTGAATACAGACATACTGTCAGTATGGAAATGATCTGTGCAGGTGTTAATCAAGTTAAATCCCAACAGCCAATCAGCAAGAAATGCTCTGTGCAGGTGGAAATGCTCTGAGCAGGTGTTAATCAAGTTAAATCCCAACAGCCAATCAGCAAGAAGAATAGAGGAAAGCTGCATGCCTATTGGTTGATGCCCTGCATTCCATTGTGATGACTCATGCCCAAACGTGGTAAACAAGGCACACTAATGGATAGG